GATAATAATAGTAGTAATAGTGTGGATGATGATAATGGAGGCGAAGACTATTAATTAACATATTAACAATATTATTCATAAAAAAATGAGCATAAAACATTTTACTTCTCCAGAACAAACATTGAAATGAATCTCGGCTTTAAGAATGGAAATTGGGGAGATCTGGGTGGTGGTAGTGTTATTCTTTAACTTTGATGTTTTGTTTCCAACTCGCGTTTAGAATCACAAGCTGATTAACGTACTTTCAATTGGCAGTCTATAACTAATAATTACTATAAATCAGTCGGAATTTCCCCTTTTTTTAAGTTCTGTTTTAGGTATATAAATTTTAAAGTTGGAATGGCGTTGTCTCACCTGTTTTTGTCCATTGCATCATTACAGTAACAACGACTGCAGAAGAGAAATAAATTAAACGGTTTGCATTGACCTTTTGTCACAATAATATCATTTGAAACAAAAGAAAAAAGGTTTCTCGATTTCAAGTTAAACTATTTCTAATAAATTAGAATGTACTTCCACTCGCGCGCGACTGGTCCAAGCGCGTAAAGTGACAGATGGACTCTAACAGGACTGGCAAGATAAGTTCATCTGGCCTACTTGGATAGCCAATCAGAGCACAGGATTCGCTTCATTTTGCCCGAGGGCGCGGCATGTTTGCCTAAGCGCTAATTCAAGAGCTATTTATTATTTTTGCGTCGTCGGAGAAAAAGGAATAAACTTTATAGTCTTGTAACTCATCGAGGCTCAAAATGTTAAAAGGATCCTCTCATGTCTAGCCCATACAAAGAAATTTCGGTAAGAGAAGCCTGAAAAAAAAAATGTCCGGCTTCAAGGTGGTTTAGTTGAGTAGTAATGCGAATTGGAGTGCACCCGAACCAGTTTCGCCCCAAACAGCCTCGATGATTAACTAACCGTTTTTTAAGCTTAACTGAATCCGAAGTTTATCAATTAAAATTTTGAAGCCATGCATTGAAAATTCTTTAAAAATAAAATTATCGATTTCGACGAATGATGGTATACTAGGATCGATGCAAAATATAAATATTGTAATACGTATGTATATATTTGTATATATATATATTTTTTTTCTTCTTTTTTGCTCAATAGATTTATGCGTATTTCCACAATGACATCCTGTAAAGATAGCTTCAAAGGATAGCGGCTGGGCTTTTGTGTTTTTTTTTTTTTCAGAGCTCAAAACTGTTTCCCCGACCGTCACGACAGAACACTAATTATGGATAACAACGACGAATTCATTTTTAAAACTTCATGATTGTAATTATATATGTCAGTGTGTTCAACTATTTTGCGTTGCATTGAAACTAAATAAAATTTAAAAACACACTTACACACATCGCCTGAATTATTTTTATTTTATACCTAACTTATTCATTCATTTGTTCTCAATTTATACTTCTTTTGTTATCAAGAAGCTGAATAAGGTCCAATTGACATATCCTTTTCAGGTTTATTTTTGGCACGGGCCGCTGGCTGTCCCGCCACCTCAATTTCTTCATCGTAGCATTTACTACTAATTTTATATTTACAAAGCATAGCGAATCGATGTGGTAAAGCTTGTACTTACTCAGGGAACAAAGAGCTGTGATCATTTTAAGGGATTGAAGCCCTTTCATCGCATCATTCACCATGAGACTCCGTTAGCAGCTGTCAGTATGCTTGTTTTGGTTCGTGACTTAGTGGCATCTCTTCTGCTTCAGATGTGTCGATGTATTTCAAACCTCTTTATAGGAGGCCAGGTGTAATGAACATCAAAACACTTGATCGTTCCTAGCTGACGTAAGGTCAATATTTATTTTCCCTTTATAAACGCACCAATAAGTATAAAGGATTTTCGGACCAGGTGCGGAAAGATGTTTTGCGCAATAAAAACAAAAAATTGCGACGAGAAAAAACTTTATTAATTTTACCTTTCGAAATAGTGCAGATGATGTAACGTTACTTAGTTAAATTTTTAACTCTTTAAGACTTATTTATGAGTCAAGTTTGGCGATAGCTATCGTTTGCGAAGTAATTACTCAAACTTAACTCCTCTTTCTTTTGCACATTTTTTTCAAAAATTTCCATAAATGTGATGCATGACTTAATATTAAACGACGAACTTCGTTCTGCGCGGTTGACATCCTACATTTGCATGTATTCCCTGCGTGATATCTTGTCACAATAACTCAAGAAGGTTGGTAACTAGGTTATTGTGTCCCTGAGACCTTACATTTTACTCCTGATCGAAGGTGTTGTGCAGGACGTCAGTTAGAACGCAGTAATAATGAATTAAAACGACCACTTCAGTTTTAAAATCGCATAATTATTATGTAATTGTGGCTAACTGTTCCAGGTCATTTTGCTTCGTATCGAAACCGAACACTCCTTGATTGCAAAACAAACTCAAAGATATCCGTTTCATTATTTTTTATACATTTGTTCTATTATGTAGGAATGGGTTAACATAATCGAAAGATGTAATAACCATGTTGCGGCTGATCGACCAACCGTCGCTTGGGTTTCCATGTGGGACATCAAGTTTTTCGTGCATGCGCGGTGGCGGCATCCTCAAACGGTGCCACAAGGCCACCAAATTAAAACCTCTTTATCTCCTTCAGTTTCTTTTTTGTTCTCGCTCAACATAGTCATTGATGATAGGACTGTTTCCCACATCTAACAAAATTTCGTCAACATTTGGTTTTTTTCTGTGAGGGTTGATTTTCTGTGAGCATTACGTTTCCCCAATTCTTACCATTTTTCCTGTTTGGCAATATCAGGTTGATGGAAATTCCTTTTTTGTAAACCTTCCAAGATCAATCTCTTGCTTAAAGGATAAGCTTTTACTGTTTGTTGCTTTTAGTCAACAGCATCCTTCTGTTGTTAAAGAAATTCTGCAGGAAATTGAATGTTATGCGAATTCTCGACGTCTTGTCTTCGGTTAAATTCTTTACACGTGCTTAAACCAAAATAGTAATTAATATCTAAAGAAACTGTTTCATTTCTTTATTCGTAATTCTTTTAATAGAATAGAGTGCAATCCACAATCATGCAAGGAAAAAAATGAAATTAAATAATTGTGATATACTCAAGCTCGAGAAAGTAATTATTTAGTAGCAGTTATGACAAAAAATTGCTAATGTCCTTCTTACAGTTACCTCCTCGCCATTAAGATTCCCTGTTTACTTAGCTATTTAAATAACACTTTCGGTGTTTTTAGAGCGCTTAAAATGATCCCTACAACTTGGGTGATAACGCTGCGTTAGCTTTCTCTGCCGTTACTTTACCTTTCGCACCTGCTCTTCTCCATAAACTCTCAAATATCATCTTTTAACTTATTTAATTCATTTTAGATATATACGTTTGGAATTCTTGGGTATGCAGACCATTCATTATCACACTATCGTTATATTGACAGAATAATAAGAAATATCTCTGGGTCATTTCGCTTAAATGGGAGATCAAATGTATCGATCTCTGTTGCTCAACGACGAATGTGTTGACCGTTATTCCGTTGCATCAATAATTATGAGCAATGGTGATGAAAAGTTTTCGTGCGCCTCGATATGTCTCTGTACTTATATCTTCATGGAGTAATATATCCTTTAAGAATTTTACTTAAACCAATAAAGTTTTATACCAGTGCTAAGGTAAGGTGAAAATCAATTCATTACCCCTGAGTTACTGTTGTAGTCAAGTAAGACAGCAAAATGAGTCAAGTGATTGCAGCTGCAAACTGTTACTTCTGAGTTGCTTTTCGAAGTAACCACATGGCATCCTGTCTCTGAAAATTCGCCTGACCTGAAAATTGTTTAAATAATAAATACTACTAATAATAATGATCAAAAGAAAAATGGAAATTACACCGAAAACTCATCAGGGCACCGATAGGTTTAACTTCTGTCTGACTTTCACCGAGGTCATAACCTCTACACATCGTTGAGTACTTTCGAAATTGGCGTTTGTCGACATCTTCTCCCTGTCACTCATGGATTTGCCTTTGAGTGATCACTGTTAGCACTTGCAAACTGAGGAAAATGGTATACTGATGATATTGATAATCAGGCTTGACACAATTCTTAAATAGACTCTTAAAAATACACACTACAAACAAAGAAACAACAACCACAATAATACAAAGAAACAAATCAATGAACATATAATTAAAATAAATGGATGGAGTCTGTAAGCAATGGATATAGAGATATAGCTATGAAAACAGAAGAAAAAAACAGCAACAACAAAACCTCGTCCAAAAAAAGAAACATTCAACAAATCAATGCTTTCATTTAAAGAACAAACAGATTGACCTTGAAAGGCCCTATTTAGAACGTTGAGAAAGTTTCAAAGTCTCATCAAAATCGAGTGAGGAATGATTGACGGCTAATAATTAACCTAGAAAAACACTCATTTAAGTATAATATTCATTTCATTTTTCTTTATAATTTGAGAATGAAGAATCAATCACTCCTGGAACGGGATGAAATATATATTCCAGCTGTTACCTTTCACTTAAGCCACTCCAAGACATGCATTTCTTCTTTCCTTCATCAATCTGTACTCGGAATATAAACATTAAAATCATTTACTCGGCATAAATATCACAACGTAAAACTATTGATTCTGATTTTGATTGTGTTCTTACCTTCAGATCTCTGAAATTTAGGATGACATTCTCTTGTAATTTTTCTGGTTTTGGATCTAAAGCCACGGCCGTTATCTCAGAGTCCAAATACCTTCGGAAGAAATAGAATATCAGTATGAAACAGATTTATTTAAAGCATAGTAATTATTTTAATGAAAATAGCAAGCTAGGAGCCTTTAAAAACTTACTTAAAGGCTAATTTATCAAACACGGAAAGATCATTGATTCACATGACTAACTATCTCTCCATATGGTTTTGAAAAATTAATAACTCATAGCTCTAACCCCTCGAGTTTCTATTTTGTGTATTTTCGATGGAAGAGGCATTTGGTTAAGAAGCTTTGGGAGGTAACCTCACCATGTGGTGCCCGTTATAGTTCCGAAGGGTTGATCTGTAATCAATACTTCATGGAGATCCTTGTACACGATCCCAACAACCACTGATACTAAAAAAGTAAAAAAAAGAAAGAATAAGGTTACAACATGGAAATATGAAATCTAAGTTGCCAATGCGGATGTCTGAATCAAACGCATTATGTAAACCAACACACAAACTTGTATGTGTTTGAAGATGTATTTAAAAACTGAAAAAAATTGGAGGGGAATAAAAAAATTGTGATTTGTCGTAGCACATCGAAGATTTAAAAACTGAAGTCAATACAAACCGTTGTTGGCAAAGTTTTTAGAGGAAACCTTCAGGCTCGTTTGCAGGTCTTGTTTCTCAAGAGAAAAGTCACTAGCATTTTTGCGGTAGGTTTTTTGTATAGCCAACACTGATGGAGAAGAAACGATAAAGATGAAATTAAGAGTAACACATTTTCGAAGAAATATTTTTCGTGTTGGTTCGAAAGTAAGTCGTAATCCTAATATGATAATTATACTTGCTTGAGAGCTATGTGTTCTCCACATCATCCTCTAAAAAGTGCAATATTCTATAGATCATTAAGACATCGAAAACCTGAAGATTTAACACTTTTCAACATTCTAATCGCCGAAAAAAATTGTTCATTATCACTATGATTTATTAAAATAAATGGTCAACGGGAGGGATGAACCAGCTCGATCCGGCTACAGCACTGATCAACAGGTCCCGTGAAAAAAAATAGTTAAATCAGTAAAGCAGCCATTCTTTCATCGGTCATAGTGTCAGTCAATAAACAAGTAAGTCAAACCCTGACTCACCAAGTTTTCGGCTGTTTATCTCCACTGAAGAATTCGCTCCGATCATTTGGTGTTTGCCATAATTAACGGCGAATACCTCAAAGGCGACGGCCACCTTAAAGATGGAATTTCTTATTCTTTCGATTTCCTCTTTTAGAGGAGGTTTTTGAAGGATTTGGATACTAGTGATGAAGTCTTCAAAAATCCATATACCCTCCTGTAATAACATAACATATCTCCGTTAAAGTAAGATGCCTAAAATTGGGATCCGTGTGAGTCAAACAAGATATTTTATTGTCACATGAGTATTAAGCCTCAGAACCCTTCATCGCGGTCGAGCATTTAAACAAAACAGTTTGAGGTAACGGTAACGCATTCAATATGCTTGTAAGGCCCATATTTCGTCAATTCTTAGTTAGATTATGGAAAAAAAATGAGAAAAAAAAACATCCAGCATGATGGCCAAATGATGTGTAGGATGTGCACAAGTTAAAGAGGTGTCCAAAATCTCGTCCAAGGAGTCGGAATTACCTTTTTCGGGAATTAATTTTTTTACTCATGCCAGTTCGTATCTTACAAATGATAATAATAACGATAGTGAGGATGATAATGTTATAATAACTATAATAATGATAATGATAATGATAACGATGGCGATAATGATACAGTCTTGTTTAATCTTGTTCAAAAGAACTCGAAGTTTTTTTCAAGCTTAGAAACTAGTGCATTGTATTGGTCATTCTTTCAAATCATTTCGTATAAACTAAGTGGCTCAGTCATATAAGATAAGCAAATAGTAAATTCATACCATCAAGGACCTGTTTGTACTGATTTCGTCTCCTTTTATTTTGAAAACAGAATCGTTCGCCTGAGGTAGAGAAAGAATAAAGTTGGCGAACAACAAGGTTGTAAATGAAAAGCTTGAGAGAAATGTTTTTCCTACCAGATTCTTAACAACTTCCAGCGTCAATGACAGAGGCGTCCGTAGAGATGGAGACGGTGATGATCTTGTTGCCGATGTTTCTGATGATGACGACAGTAACAATGATGCTGCTGATGCCCTTGCTGTTGATATTGCTGTTGATGATCCTGATACTGATGCTGATCTTGTTGCTGGCTTTGATGATAATGGTGATAGTGCTGATGAATATACTGATGCCCCTGCTGGTAACACCGCTGCTGATGGTGAGTGTGATGGAGATGATAGTAATGGTGAAGGTAACACTAATGATAAAGGTGACTGTGACATTGATTGCAACAGAGCTGAATATTGAAGAAAAAATATTGTCAAAATAAAAACTGATGCTATGGTAAGACACGACGAATTTTAAAAGAAAATATTTTCTATTTGTTTTTCAGAATCTTAAACAGTTTTTCGTAAAATAAAAAAGAATGTTTTAAGTATTTAATGCACTATTCTACTCACTGTAAGTTTCTGTTCCATGTCCTGTTGAAGTTTTAGTTGCGAATACTCGAAATGTTGAAGCCCCAATAGATGTAATGGAATTCGACATGGATAAATTTGAAGTGATGCTGTGACTATTTGGAAATTTGGTGCAAATGCAGCTTTTATCTTGGCCGCAGACGGTCTGAAAGATTCTCGTCGTGAGGGACCATGACTTGGAAGACAGCATGAGGATTTTGCAACATTGACCATTTCCAGAGCACATTAGCTTATCATGAGAACTGGTTGGCCAAGTCTTCGTGATGTTACACGTACTGTCACACATCTGTATACAATCGCCAGCGTTACAATGCATATTGCACATCTGTACTGTTCCTGTGCAATGTTGTTTTTTACAATTTATCCCGCTACAGTTCAGGTTACATCTCTCAGCGTCGCAGGTTTGTTCACAATCCTGACCGTTACATTCAAGTTTCATGTCACATGTATATCCTTTACCTTGGCACTTCTGAGTTTTGCACTTGCTCCCACTGCAAGTCAAGTTACATCTCTCAGCGTCGCAGATTTGTTCGCAATCCTGACTGTTACATTCTACTCCCATTTCGCATGCATATCCTTTACCTTGACACTTCTGTGTTTTACAATGGCTCCCGCTGCAGGTCAGGTTACATCTCTCAGCGTCGCAGGTTTGTTCACAATCCTGACTGTTACATTCTAGTTCCATTTCGCATGCATATCCTTTACCTTGGCACTTCTGTTTTTTACAATGGCTCCCGCTGCAGTTCAGGTTACAAATCTCAGCGTCGCAGATTTGTTCACAATCCTGACTGTTACATTCTAGATCAATTCCACATGCATATCCTTTACCTTGACACTTCTGCGTTTTACAATGGCTCCCGCTGCAGGTCAGGTTACATCTCTCGGCGTCGCAGGTTTGGTCACAATCATGACTGTTACATTCTAGTTCCATTTCACATGAATATCCGTTACCTTGACACTTCTGTGTTTTACACTTGCTTCCGTTGCAGTTCACGCTACACATCTCAGCGTTGCAGTTTTGTTCACAATCCTGATTTTGACATTCTAGTTCCATTTCACATGTATATCCTCTACCTTGACACTTCTGTGTTTTACACTTTCCCCCGCTGCAGTTCATTTTACACCTGTTTGCCTTGCAGGTTTGATCACAATCCCTACCATTACATTCCAGATCCATTTCACATACATTTCCTTCACCTTCGCACTTCTGTGTTTTACATTTTTCCCCGCTGCAGGTCAGGTTACATTTATCAGCGTTGCAGATTTGTTCACAATCCTGATGGTTACATTCTAAATCCATTTCGCATGCAAGTCCGCCTTCTTTAAGGCACTTCTGCGTTTTACAAAATTTCCCGCTGCAGTTCAGTTTACACGTGTTAGCCGTGCAGGTTTGGTCACAATCGTTACCTATACACTCCAGATTCAATTCACACAACTCAACTCCAGTATCACACTTCTGTTTACAGCCTTCCCCCTTGCATTTCATAAGACAATTATAATTACCACTGCTGCAATTCCGAAGCGGATCACAATGATCGCCGTCCTTATTACATCTCGATTGACATTTTCTTTCATCGCAATCCTCACCGCCCAGCCCAAAACCTGACACAAAAAAAACAAGAACAGAAACAAAAATATATGAATACCAACTATGAAAATAAAAATGACAATAATTATGAAAAATACAGAGGTATCGCGAGACCTTCGTTGCGCAAATAAACAACTTTATACCACTGTTGCATGAAACTACTGAATACAATTTCGTTTTGGCTTCCTGAAAAAAGCCTGTTTGGCCACCCGCCACCAAGAATGTTCTAATATAGGTTTCAGCGGTCTTTGTATGCGCTCAATTTTATTTCGAAGACTTTTCAAAGGGCAGCCATGAGATGGACTCTTCGGAGTGCGCTTAAGATGCATTCTGAATGAAATCAACCCTTTAAAAGGAGCTTTGGTACCCACTCAACATAGTTATTGATAACAGGAGTGTTCCCCACAACTGGCAACTTCTCGTCATCACTATTTTTTCCGTTGAGTGAGTTTAGTTCCTGTAAGCTGAACCAAATGCAACCTTCTGGAATATTGTCAGTGGCTGGAGATCAGTCCGAAATATCCTTTGCCAATATAAATGCAAGGCTTGTGATAATTCTACTTTTAGCAAGAACCAGCCGCTTACTCAGTGCCGGAAAACACTGCAGAATATGGATTGTCATGCAAATTATTTCCGTCGGGTCTTTCTGCCGCAATTTAGTCGCATTAAGCCTTTTTACTTAAGTAAAAAATATAAAAGGTATGAAACTAACTTTTCAAGCAAACGCTTCATTCGAATTTTAAAGCTTTTTCAATAATTTAGCATGGGATACATAATATTTGGCGAAAAATAGTGCATTTTTGAATAGTATAGCCCTAGGCTAAAGATACCAACTCGTGGTGACGGTTTTTATTCGTTTTAATGTTACTGTCAATTACTGACAGTTGCCACTCTTTGTTTGTTAAGCCCTTTTACATCGAATGAGGTTTTTTTTTAAGAGTGTTTGCATCGTAGGAGTTGCATCGAAACAACTACGCCTCCTCTTGATGTCTATCTGTTACGTTTCTAAATCAGTTACTTTTTACTTTCTTTCTAGTATTTAATTAACGTCATCGCTTTGTTTCTAAGACTCTCCCTAAACAGCTCGTATTTCAGTCAATTGCAAGTTTTCGAATAAGAAGCATCAAATAATACGGCATCGAATGAGTTTTTCGTCTCGTTTTAGTTTCGTTTGTGATTTGGAACTTTTACTGTGTGGATCAGATATATGAGCAATAATTTTCGTTTTTCCTTTCGTAAACATATTTGTTGATTCAGGTTTTTTTATTTATTTGTCCCCTCATGGGCATGCATATGAACATTTTCGTGACAATTTCGAATATTCGTGTTTTCCATGCAACAATTATATTCTCCTCGTGCGGTGCTCCGTCTCAAAAAATGCGCTACTTAGTACATCATCCTTAAGCCTTTGATACACAATTGTTTTATCGCCTTTTGTTTCGATCGCTACTCGTTTTTAATTGATTTCTCCTATAAGTTGGTTCATTTAGTTGTAATTGACGAAGAAGACGAAGAATTGAAGTTGACGAGAAACATTGACTGCTGGTGAGGAATAAATTTAAGTTCGGTTCTTTCATTGCCTGCAAGTCTTTGTTACTCCGTAGTCGTAATTATACCCTCATTAGCCAGCGACCAGTTTTGAGCTTCAATTAATGACGAGCATGACCGTCGCCTTGCTACCACACTTATGTAATTAGATGTTTTGTTAGCTCTTTCTAATGGTCCTCAGTAATTAGTGCAGAGCGGAAGATCTTACCTGCACATGCCACGCACACTAATGTAATTAGATATATTTTTTTTAGCTTTTTCTAATGGTCCTCAGTAATTAGTGCAGAGTGGAAGATCTTACCTGCATATGCCATGCACAAGAGGGTGTTTTTGACAAAATATGTGACGTTCTGCTTATGAGTATGTATATATCGCTCATTTTTCTCTTTTTGTCTATATATATAAATATATACCATATATACCCGGTTTTTTTTTAAAACGTAGCAATTTAGAAATATGTATCAGATAAAGTAGCTGCTGTTCACTATTGTGCCTCGCAGTAACTGGATGAGGACTACAAACAACTGGGTAAGATTTCACTTGCCTACCTAGAGTGATGCAAATAATAGCGCCTCTAAGTCTTTCTTTTCTGTACTCTTTTAACTTTAGTTAACCCTTCAGGAACATTCCATCATTCTTCCAATCATCCAGAGCTCAAAATATGAATTAAACAATTATTTGTAAGCTAGAAAATGTTCGATTCTCGGAACAGATTTGGATGGTGTCTGAAATATAGTTTTACAGGCATACCTGATAAAAAGAAATACATATGTGTACTAATATTGCTTGATTTTAGATATGCGACATCCGCCAAAAAAAGTAAAAAAATGATTTAAATGGAAATGAGAATTGAAATGCATCTGATTCAATTTTCCTTCAAAACTTTCTCAATGGACTAGAAGATTAACTTAACTGAATCCGAAGTTTATCAATTAAAGTTTTGAAGCCATCATTTAAAAATTCATTGAAAAATAAAATTATCGAATTCGACGAACGGTGGCATACTGCTGTAGCTATGGGATCGATGCAAAATGAAAGTATTTTAATTTTTTTTTTCCTTTTTCTTTTTCTAAGTGGAATGAATCTCATTCATTTCTACTAGATTTTAGTGTCCGCTTGAGGAAACACTGTCTTAAAAATTAAAGGAAAAAAAAAACTAAAAAATAAGAGGAAGAAGGTACTTAATAAAAAAAAAAACGGATCGAATAACCTACCACGTCTATTTTTATAGCTAACGGTATTCATTGGGAAAATTCCTTGTGGAAAACATACTTCTGTATATCACAATCAATCTTTTCTCTAGGGCACGATTATATAAATGAGCTCAAATTCATCCAAACGACTAACTTATGTTTGGCGCTCAAGAGATTTATGCGAATTTTCCCAGTGACATCCAGTGGAGGTAGCTTCAGAGAATGGCGACTGAGCTTTGGTGTTTCTCCGACGCTAAATATCAGTTCTAAAAACTGTTTTGCTGACCGTCAACACAGAATACTTATTATGGATAACAACGACAAATTTATTTTTAAAACTTCATGATTGTAATCATTGTGTTTAATTGTTTTCAAATCCTTTTGCATCGTATTGAAGCTAAAATAAAATTTAAAAACACAGTTAGACACATTATTTCTACATTATATCTTACTTATTCATTCATTTGTTCTCAATTTAAACTTGTTCTGTTATCAAGAAGCTGAATAAGCTCCAATTGACACATCATTTTCAGGTCTATTCTTGGAATGGGCTGCTGGCTTCCCGCTACATTTCTTCATCGTAGCATTTACTACTAATTTTACATTTACAAAACATAACCAATCGATGTAATAAGGCTTGTATTTACTCAGCGAAAGAAGGGCTGTGATCAATTTACCGGATTAAAGCCCTTTCATCGCATCATTCATCATGAGATTCCATTAGCAGCTATCAGTATGCTTGTTTTGGTTCGTGACTTGGTGGCATCTTGTGTGCTACAGATGTGTCAATGTATTTCAAACCGCTAATGTAATGGACATTAACGTAAGTCAACATTTACTTTCCTTTCAAACAGGCGCCTACAAGTTTAAAGAGTTTTTGGACCAGCCGCAAAGAGATGTTTTGCGCCATAAAAACAAAAAAAATGCGATGAACAAAAGCTTTGATCTCTTAAAGACCTCCCTTTAGTTAGCTTTGTTTGTAGGCGGATAAACGCTCGTGCTGCTGCACTAATAATGAGGGCCTGGTGGAAAAAATCATTTTTACCCAAATCCTCTAACATTTCACGAACACAGGTTTCTTTCAGTAATCTGAATCAAATTTATCGTTGCCTCGATACATTCCCGTGTACATGGGTTTTCATTGGAAGCACAGATATATTTGTTAAGTCTTGCATATCCTGGAAAAGTAAAATTTGGAAGGAAAATAATAACATAAGCCGTGAACATATAACAAGTGACAAGAAAATTTTTGCCAGGAGTTGCGTGCAGCTCTGCAGATTGATCTACCGCAGACGGTTGTATTTCACGGTTTTTCTTCTCACTTTCAAATTCAAGGCCTGTGTGGGCTGAAAATAATTCATTTGCATTTGCATTTGCATTTGCATTTGCATCACAGCACCTTAATGAAATTCTCCAGTGCGCTGCAAAGTCGATCTTGCTTGGGCCGCTACAAAGTTAGCATCCCCTAATTTACAAACTTTTCCTGTGTTCTCCTGACGTCCCAAGTGATTTATTAGGCGTGTTTACCGATAAAAAGTGTGGTTTATAGTGTTAGTTTGTAAGATTTTACTTGGAGATATTGTTTTTCTGTCGTTGTGAGGGCAATAAGCTCGAGTCTCGCCAGAGAATTCTGAAGAAGTCACGATTTTCGGAATAAGCTTGTGGCACTAATCTAGTGAACAATGATTTATGTTTTAAAAAGAACTTTTGTACTCACTCAACAAAGTCATTGATAATATTTTAAAAAGAACTTTTGTACTCACTCAACAGAGTCATTGATAATAGGACTGTTCCCCATATCTGACAAAATTTCGTCAACATTTCTTTTTCTCTGTGAGGTTAATTTTCTGTCAGCATTATGTTTCCCTAACTCTGATCTTTTTCCCTGTTTGGCAGTATCAGGTAAATGGGGATTCCTTTTTTGTAAACCTTTCAAGACGAGTCTCCTGCTAAAAGGATAAGCTTTCTAGCATGAGTTGTTTTAAGTGAACATCATCCTTCTGTTGCTAATAAATTTTGCAGGAAATTGAATGTCATGCGAATTCTTGACGTCTTGTCTTCGGTTAAATTCTTTGCACCTGCTTAAAACAAACATGGCAAAATAATCCATTAATATCGAAAGAAACTATTTCATTTCGTAATTCTTTCGGTAAAATAGAGTGCGACCCACAATCATGCAGTGAGAAAAAACAAATTAAATTAAACAATTGTGAACTCCCCAAGCTCGAGAAAGTAACTATTTAGTAGCAGTTATCACAAAAAATTGCTCATGTCATTTTTACGGTTGCCTACTCACCATTAAGATTCCTTGTTTACTTAGCTATTGAAATGGTACTTTTAGTGTTTTTAGAGCGCCTAAAAAATTCCAACTGGCACGGAACAAATATGTTTCTACTTGAAATAATTTACTAATTTTAAAATGATCCTACAACTTAGATGATAACGCTGTCTTAACTTTCCCTGCCGTTACTTCTCCATGGACACTCAAATATCATCTTTTAATTTATTTAATTCATTTTGGATACATTAGTTTGGAATTTTTGGGGTATGCAGACCATTCTTTATCATACTATCATTATATCGAGAGAATAACAAGAAGTATATCTGGGTCATTTCGCTTAAATGAGATATCAAAGGTATCGCTCAACCACGACTGTGTTCATCGCTATTCCGTTGCATCAATAATTAAGAGCAATGGTGATTAAAGGTTTTCGTGCTCCTCGATATATGTCTGCACTTATATCTTGCTTGAGTAATATATCCTTAAAGAATCGTCATAAAGCTCTGATATTACATCTATCCTCTTGCTAATGCAACGAGAGAACATAAAATAGGTGGGCGTAGCTAGGTCTCTCTAGGTCTCCCCCTCTTCCCCTTTCGAAAGAAGGGGGAAGTGGGGGGTCGTCGTTACAAACGTGTGCGTGCGCACCTCACGTAAAGTGGCGTTAACTTATATCTAACGAGCTTGTAATCACACAGTGGAAGGATTATTCAACATTTCAGAAGATTTTGTGGCAATGGCTTCATATTTAAAGAAACAAACCAAAAAACAGACAAAAACATAACAGAGCAACTTAAACACTCACTCAAGAGAGTAGTTGGACTTCTCAGGCATCTTAGAATCTTCCCCTGGGGAGATGGGGTTAGGGGTGTGAGAGCGAAGAGAAGGTGGTGAAGATGGATTCAAAACCCCTTCCTCTCTTCCACCCTATAATGGTTTACTCTAAGCATTGATCAAAACTCAGAGGGATTCTTCCCTACGGGACAGTGGAAGTTTGTTTCATTGCTTCTCAGTACACCGATTTTAATCCAAAGTGATCAAAAGTGACTCGACAGGGTAAAAAGTGCCTCGTCATGCGAACAAATATAACAGATTACTAAAAGGTATAGTTCATTCACTCCTTTTTAATTATTTATCATTTTATCTGTTGATTTAATTAATTTATTAATTAAAAATTTAAAACTTGACATTTACCACTGCTATTACAAAAGTACGATCGTATTTGGTATTTTCACAGGTAGCTTAGTGTTACCTTGTGTACTCAAAATGTGGACCAATATTAAGTCGTTATAAATATTGATAAACAGTGGTTTAAAGGAAATACAGTAAAATGTGTATTAGTGTTAAACAAGTGAGACTTGAATGTATGATACGATTTTAGATAATCGACTCTTATTTTCGTTCTAGTGAATCCAGTTATTTAAGCTATTTTTTTTTAATTCCAACTTATTTTAAGACTGCTATTCAACTGCCCACACATCACCGACATCACTTGGATTAACCTGTGAGCTTTTCCTTGTGGATTTTTCATTTTTAAAGTTGGAAAAACGGTATCACTAAAAGTCGTTAAAATTGGATTACTGAATACTGTATTCTGCTATTCTTTGAAGGACTGCATTTCTACTGCCCCCACTTCGCTGGCATCTCTTGGATGAACTTGAGAGCTCTTCTTCGCAGAGTTTCCATGATCTACAGCAGATGGGAAAATGATGTTCATCTTCCTTTTTAATTGCTCTCTAATCTGCAGATGAACAAGCGACCAAGTATCAAATGGTAACCGCCAAAATCTTTAATGATGTCTAGCAAATTTACAATTCGTCTTATGTACATCCTCAGTTTGATATTCATCATACCTGGCTGTTCCGCACACAATGAAGAACGAAAATCAGGATACCCTGAAACAGATAATTATATCAGTATTACACTTTTTGTAATCCGGGTGAGAAAGGTGATAACGGTATGATCGTTTGAGATGAAACCACAATAAAGGTGGCGAAAGAATGAATTAAAGCAAGTCGCATATCTCTTAAACCAATAAGGATTGTCTGCTGTTGGGTAAATTGTTTTGAATAGGCAATATCATCTGACCAAAAGAGTCTTTTTTAAGCAAAAGAGTGGTTTGAGCATTTAAGTATGTGAACAGATGACTAAAATTTAATTATAGACTAACTTTAATTAAAAGCTTACCTGAGTAGAGCTGAAAATGGTGAAAAGGTAGGCGAGAGCTTTGTGTGATGATAACAAAAGACCAAAAAGCCATGTGACACCCAGCAGTGGAATCATCACCGCGCATGTTTTAATGCCAAGTCTGAATAATGAGAATAACATATCACGAGGATCGATTAACCATTTCTTTCCGTCACGGGAAAAAAATCGTATTGCTTCATCGTTGCAAACGAACGAGAGTGGAATCTAGGCAAATACTGCTAGACTAAATGCGGCAATAATTTGATTTCATTACTCGAGGAGTCTTTGTAGAAACTAGTTTTTACTTACCTTTCCCCCCTGAATTTTAACTAGTTTACCACAATTATCTAATAAATGTTAAATTTGAAAACTTCCCGTATCTGCTGTAAATGGTTGTCTTCCCTCGTGGGTTGTGTTAATGTGCTCATCTCCTTTATTATTCGGACGAGTATCAAAATGTTGAGCTGAAAACAGAAAAATTGTCATTCGTCCTGTTACGAGCGTTTGAAAAAAAAAATTCTGAATCTTTATAGAAAAATAAACCCCTGTGTTCAGCAAACCAACGCGCTCCGACGTCTCTATAATGAGCAGCAGAGAACCGTGTGCTGCCACGCTATTACTTTTTCATACACAGGCCAAGAGGAATGGAAGTTGGAAAGACACAAGGGAATATCAATTGGAGTTGATATTCTTTGGAAAGACGGTAAACGTTTGCTAATAAAAATCTTTAATAATAGGCTGTCCTGGTGTAGGAAATAACGATAATATTACCGACAATTATCATAATACTAATAACAATAATAACAACGCAGACTCACAACTTCAATGACAGCTACAAATGTGACGAAGATCCAGATCAGGTTGTTTCTCGAGGACAGCCAGCAACTGGAAACGAGTATATAAAAAAAAAATTAAATTCCAGAAAATAATCTTCAGAGCACAACACAAATCAAACACAACAGCATAATAAAACAAGGCAACTCCAAGTGAAAACAAATGGAGTGATAAAGTAAAACTGGGAAGAGATCTTAACAACAGGAACGGGTCGTGAAATGCTGATTATTTAAATGAAAAGAGAGAGAGGGAAGAGGAAGAAGAGAGAAGAAACTGCAGTTATATTATTCGCTATTTCTCATACTATGTTTCACTGATATAGCTTTTCATTCCATCTTTTCCAGCAGCGATGCTCATTGAAATGCTAACCATGATGATAGGCAAACCTAAACATAAGTAGAATGAAGTTAGTGCAACTCGAGAAGTCGTGCGTCCAATTTTCAGGCGATTTCGATTCAGCAGCTTACAATAATTTACAACAAGTGAAATAACATTACCCCATGATATGAAGTGATACATGTGCATCTTGGTGCTGATGTTATAAACTTTCACAACAGATAGGAAGAAATAAATTTCCTCCACCAGCATCCAACAGAAAGCTGCCAGTAGGAAGTACTGCAAGAAAGCTGCTATTAGGACACAGAGAGCCTACGAGAAAGAAAAAAAAGTTTTTGTAGGTTTTTCATATTATTTTCAAAGGAGAATCTGTTCGGCCCCTAAAATGCAAATAAACCATAAATAGATAAATACAACACTTACGGTATTTTCTGTAGCGTTTATGCCGGCGAGAAAGACTATTTGTCCGACTCCGAGGGACAAAGAAAGACTCAGTCGTATTTGAGTCAGAGGTTGCCATACGTCTCTAGTGAAACAAGCAAGCAATAAAAAAAACCGACAAACAAACAAAAAAAAAGCAAAAACTCAAAGAAAGATAGAAACAAAAACAAAACGAAGCAATATTTGACAAGGTATTTTATTAATTTTGTACTGTACTACTTTAGACATCCTACCGGCTTTCGCTCATAAATTCAATTGATCTCTATGACATTTTTTTCATCTTAATTCGTTACTATTTTATTTGTTCAATAACCTTTTTAATTTCATGGATATTTTTTTTAAAGAACTTGTCTGTTCTAAGCCCCAAATCATTCAAGGTCATGCAAAGACTTGGTTCTTTGAGCGTATGGTTACAGTACTTACGTGAGGTAGGAATATAGAATAATTGTCAAAAGAATTCCGAAGATGGAAAGGCACAATCCCACGTGGGTGATAATTTCATGAATAGTTTCGTCTTCCACAGTGAGCTGTGAAGAGAGATGAATATTCAGAATATTCATATTTTATTACCAATACTAAAGGTAAGGTGAAAATCAATTCATTACCCCTGGGATACCGTTGTAGTCAAATAAGACAGCAAAATTAGTCAGATGATTGCAGCTGCACACTGTTTCTTCTGTGTTGCTTTGCGATGCAACCACATGGCATCCTCTCCCTGAAAATCCTTCTGAGCTGGAAAAATAACGACAAAGTTAAAAAAAATAACACAACAAAATTAAAACAATAACAACAATATTATAAAAATAATTTTGAAGAAGACCTTTGGTTACCAAAAGGTCAGCTTGCTATCTTCCTCATTATAATCGTAGCCTCGAGACCAAGTTGACCACTTTCCATTTTATTCAGTAATTGATATGTGCTACTCATGAAGTCGGCTTTGATATTCTAACTGTTATAATGTGATGAAAAGGTATATTGACGATCCAGGCTAGTAAAACACAACTGAATCTTACCTTATGTGAAGAAAATTGAAAAACGGAAAAACAGAAAAAAACCAAAGGCGAACTTTTACTTTTACGGTAAACAAAACGATTTTGTCAGCAACAATATGTAAGACGATGTCAGAAGCGAAAAAAGGCGACAACCGCAAATGAAAACGAATAAAAAGCAGATAGAAATGGCTTCAAAACAGGAAGTATCAGATTGACAGTGACGGATAATTGATAACTTAAGGGAAAGTCATGCCGGCATAATAATCAACTGGGGGCTTTTCCACTCGAATGTTGTTGAAATTTTTTTGGTTTTTCCTGCTGCAAGAGCTGATTGGTGTTTCCTTCACAAACAAAAAATTCATAGCGATTAACAAAGATTGCGTAAGCCTAGCTTGCATAACTTCTAGAACAAGGTAGTAATATATTTCAGCTTGTTACCTTTTGCTAAAGCCCCTCCAAAATACACATGTCTTTTCTCTTTCATCAAACTGAAAATGTGTATTATTTCCTTGGAATAAATAAACACAATGTAGCGCAATTGATACCAATTTTAATCGTGTTCTTACCTTCAGGTTTCTGAACTTTAGCATGACATTCGCTTCCAGTTTGTTTGGTTTTGGATCCATAGCCACGGCCATTATCCTGGAGTTCAAATACCTGTCAAAAAAAGAGAAGAATCATAATTTTGTATATTTTGAATCATATAATTTTTAGAAAAATTTTTGACGATACGGTAACCATGGTAACCAAGGAGCTCTTACTGTGTTACTTTAAGCTGATTTCCTTGACACCGAAAATAGTCATTGATTCACACAGGGATCACGAAATACTGCTTTGAAAAATTTAAGAAATTTTGTTGGTTGAATGCAGTGCATTTCTTTGTTTTCCGCGGAAGAAACAATTTGTTTAAAAGTTTAGAGAAGTTAAACTTCACCTTGTGGCTTCGCCTGCTTCATTTCTGATGGTTTGATTTGTGTCCAGTAGTTCGTGGAGATCCTTATACACAATCCCAACAGCCAGTGAAACTTAAAAAAAGAAATTGAGGAAGAAAAGAAAATCAAGCCAAAGTAGAAGTCACTTGCATTTTGCTGGTAGGCTTTATGAATACCCAGCACTAACGAAGAAAACAATACGTGATGGTATTAACAATTTCACGACACTTGCTGGACTGAAAATACAGTCTGTATATCATAGTTGCATAAACGCTTTTATTTACTTTACCTCTCAACAGCGCAATCCTTTAAATATTGTAAAATAATTGATGACAAGACGTCAGCATTTTGAAGGGTTCAGATCGCTGGATATTATCATCCAATTCCATAATGATTGATGAACATAAATAGTCAATGGAAGGACTGAATGGATCGATTGATCCAGCAATAAAGCTTCGCATTCAGTAACCTATATCAATTTACTACATCATCAAGGCCTATAGATTATACGCTGTTTAAACTCACCCATTGTCTGGTTGTCGATCACTTGTGAGGACCTTGTTCCAGTCAGGTGGAGCTTGCTGTATTTAAGAGCAAATTCTTCAAAGGCGATAGCCACTTTAAAAGTGGATCCTCTTCTTGTCTCAATCTCATCTGTTATAGGGGCGCGGTTACGAGCTTTTGTGATTTTTTTAATACCTGTGATGAATATTTCCAAAACCGCTATGGCTTCCTGTAAAGACATGAAATATATTTGTTTAGGTAAGGTGCTAAGCATTTGTGGTAAGAAAATAAAAAAAAATCATTACAAATAGATAAGAAATTATTCAAGCGAGAGAGCCAACCAATTTCGGACGCAAATGCATATGCACAGGTTAGAGATCGACTAGACCAGGAAATAAAAATATTTTACTTGGAGGATAGATTATTCAGTTTTCGTCTACGAATTTAAAAAAAAATAACAATCATACTGGTAATTACGATAATAATAATACTGATAACGATAATTTATCTATAAAAATTCCTAAAATAGCTTTCTTACAGGCGAGAAAAACTATACAGGTTAACGTCTTAATCAAGTAAAAAGTTATGAGCCATTAATCTTTTACTGCCACGAGCAATATGAGACGAAAGCAGAAAAACTAACAAACAAACAAAAAATTATTTATACCCTTAATAAAAATTCGTATTTGCGGATTCCGTTTGAACATTCAAAACATACTGACTGGAACTTCAGTTCAATAACTGCGTATAGAAATTAGAAGAATGAAATACCTGTAAGGAACTGGCGTTGGTGATATTCATTCTGCTAAGTTTAGAAACATATTCCGCCGCCTGAGGTAAGGGGAATAACAGTTATGATTATAGAGCATGAGGATCCTAAAAGTAAAAAAACAAAACAAAACAAAACCAAAAATTACACACCAGCTTTAATTTTGAATCCTTGTTGACTGCAACGCCGATGATGATGTCGATGGCAATAATGACTGCGATGGCGAGAGCGCGGACGAAAGCAAGTGAAGAGGTGACCGCAACGAAGGAAACTGAGACTGTGACTGAGGTGACTGTGAAAAAGGTGACTGAGACATCGACAGAGACAAAAACTGAGGCATCGACTGCGACGGCGTCTGCGACACAGACAATGACGGTGATCGTGACGGCGAACGCGATGGAAACAATGATGACCACAGAACTGGCGATGGAGTGGGTTGTGGCCTTATAGATTCGGATGGTGAAGATTTTTCTGCAATTTTGAATGAGAACAATGATGGTGCAGCTGAAATCGACACAAATAACGCCAACAATAATTACTAAAGAAATGTTCTCAGAAACAATTTTTTCCCATATTGTTTTCTATACTACATTTTAAGTTCAATTTATATTCATTGAAATAAATTGGTTCAGGTTTTTTTTTATTTAAAATGTTTTTTATTTTTTAATATTTAGCTCTAAAACTGTCTTCACGCGTCTTACTAATAACTTCTAAACTCGGGAAAGGACGGCAAATAATTGAATCGCTTTCTCCGATTACTTTATCAATGGAAGGCTCATAATAGTCAGTATATTCTGTACTCTGAATATTCTACATCGCATTGAAACTAGCATTCGCATTGAAATTATTTTCTAAAAGTCACATGCCAAGTTTTTATCGGACAGTTTGTTACCAGACGGTTTAATGAGACAATCACATTCAAAGTTGTAGTTCAAATCAACCAGTCACATTTAAAGTTGAGTTCGAATCAATAACCCACAACTTTAGTTTAAATCACCACACAGTGTACAGTGTACAGACTCCTAAATTAAGGCTTTCTTCAAAATGGACAATGTTCTCACTTGAACAATGACAATATTTCTTCTTTTCTCAGAAATTGTAATTTTTATGATTAATTGGTTTTACCACTCGTATGCTTACAGACCGAATTGGATTATACTCAGTCCTATATATTACTATTATTGATACGGGGTCCAAGTAATGGTCAGGTGCAAAAACTGTCAGAAATTATGCATCTGCTGCCTTTTCGTCGTCCACAAGATTAAAAGTGAGAAATATGTATCGTGAAATATTTATCCACGTGAAAATTTTATCCTGATTGCCAGAGGCTCCATGAGTTCCGCTTACTATAACAGCAATGATAAGTATACAAACCATAGGTAATATTTGCATTACAGTTAATGAGCACTTTTAGTGCACCTTAACCTAATTCAATATCAAAAATAAAGAGTAATTTTGTCTTACCTTTGGGAATTTCGCAAATATAAGCTAATTTCTCAGAGCCATGAATGCCACAAAATAGGCTCTGGTTACCTTTAATAGTCTGCTTGCATATGTGAGCCACAGATCCCTCACACTTTGGCTCTCCTGCCCATTTAGACATGTTCACAAGTTTTCCGCTCACCCAAGTCCAATTTTCACCTTTTTTTTCTAAGCCAATATACCATTTATCATAACGAGGATTATGGTTACAAGCACGTGAACAGTTAGACATCGTACTGCGATTTTGAATTTCGTTACTGATGAAATTCCATTCTTCTTCGGTTTCAATGGAGACCAAATCTCCTCCTTGACTTTGGCAGATGCCTCTGTCCGTCGTCCAATTGTCTCCTTTTTTCGTGAATATATACCAAGAGTTTTGAAAAGACATAATTGGGCATTCTATGAAATAAAAACAATGATAATAAAAATAATGACCATGATGATGGTAATAATGAGAAAACTACAAGGGCAATCAAGGATACAAACAAACCAGCCGATAGAATGGCGTGTCTTTATCATTTTTATAATTATTTGCTTCTTCATCATCATTACGAATTTTTCATTGTTATTATGATTAGCATTTTCATTGTTATTGTAATATTACATAGCTCGTCGAACAGTGTCATTTAAGAACCCGTCCTCTCTTGTGCGTTTTCCTTCGAAAAAAGGTGGAAACATTTGAAAACGTATGCATATCGTTTTAGTGTGGACAGTTCTATACGAAGCTTTTTGAAAACCATGACGTTGAATGACGTGATAGTGTCATGCAACCTCTTTTCCAGGCCTCCCGTCTCAATAAATAAAAAACAAATATAGCAGAAGAGTATATGGATATGTTTTCGATGCTTAACTGGAGCTTAATATTGCGTTCGTGCAGGCACACACAGATCGATGCGTAAGCAGGTCGCATGAAGTCATGTATGTGTTTTCAATTGTTTTCGTGTGGACAGTCAAAAACGCTAGGAAAAGAATAGCAGTATCTCGATTTTTTGGAAAATTCATCTTCCAGAGAAATTTTCATCAGATCAGTTCTAAGAGGGCATATTTTAGCATGTAATGTACTTTATTGGTGAAATGATTATCTACCTTCGGGCATTTCACAAATGAAGGCGTTGATTTCGGACCGAGAAATTTTGTTAAAAAGGCTTTCATTCTTGCATGTTTTCGCACGACCTTTATCCTCAGAATCTCGCCATTTCGAAATATTCAGTTTTTCTCCACTTTCCCAAGTCCAGGTATTGTTTTTCTTTCTTGTTAAACCAATGTGCCACGCACTAGTATTCCAAGAAGAACGTTTTTTGATTTCGTGATTGATAAACTGCCATTCTTCTTCGGTTTCAATAGAAACTAGGTAACCTCCCTGATATTCGCAGGTTTTTCTGTTCCTCGACCAACTTCTTCCCCATTTCGAAAATGTGTACCAAGAAGATTCAAAACGTGTCTCCTGGCATTCTACTACAGAATAAATAGATAAATAAATAAACAAAAATATGTAGATTATATTGATGATAGAAATAGTGATAGTTTTGATCATGATGATGATGATGATGATGATGGAGACGAAGAGTATTGATTATTATATTAATAATATTATCCATAAACAATGAGGATGAAACATTTTACCTCCCTAAAGCAAACATTGAAATGAATCTCGACTTAAAGAATGGAAATTGGGGAGATTTGGGTGGTGGTAGTGTTATTCTTTAAGTTTCATGTTTGTTTCCAGTTCGTGTTTAGTATCACAAGCGGAATTTCTCTTTTTTAAGTTCTGTTTTAGGTATATAAATGTTAAAGTTAGAATGGTGCTGTCTTACCTGTTCCTTTCCATTGCATCATTAGAGTAACAATGACTGCAGAAGAGGAATAAAATAGACATGTGCATTGATTTTTTGTTGCATTGATATTTGAAACAAATAGAGAAATGTTTCTTGATTTCAAGTGAAACAATGACTAATAAATTAATAAATGTATTTCCACTCGCATGCAACTGGTCTAAGCATGTGAAGTGACTGGATGGACTCTCGCAAGTCTGGCAAGATAGGCTCATCTTTCTTGCTTTGGTAGCCAATTCTAACATAGGATTTGCTAATTCAAGAGTGATTTATTATTTTTGCGTCGTTGGAGAAAAAGAAATAAACTGCATTGCTTATTGTCTTGTAATTCATCGAAGCTCAAACTATTGAAAGGATCCTCTCAAGTGTAGCCCATACCAATAAATTACAACAAGAGAAGCCTATAACAAAAAAAAGTATCCGGTTTCACTATTTTGCCTCGCAGTAACTCGATGAGGGCTACAAACAAACGGGTAAGATTTCATGTGCCTACCTAAAGTGATGTTGATATTAGTGCCTCTAAGCCTTTCTTTTCCGTACTCTTTTAACTTTAGCTAACCTTTCATGAAGATTCCATCGTTCTTCCAGTCATTCAGAGGTCAAAATATGAATTAAACAATTATTTGTTAGTTGAAAAATGTTCGGTTCTTGAAACAGATTTGGATGATGTCTGCAGATAGTTCTATAGGAATACCGTGCGTATATTTTTTTTAAATTTTTGTCGTGCAACATCCGCAGAAGAAAAAGAAAGAGTTGAAAAGTAATGAGAATTGACATGCAAACGATCCAGTTTCGCCTCAAAACTGTCTCGATTGATTGATTAGAAGATTGGCCAAACATTTTTAAGCTTAACTGAATCCGAAGTTTATAAATTAACATTTGAAAGCCACATAAAAATTCATTGAAAATAAAGTTATCGAATGCGACGAATAATGACATACTGCTGCAGCATGGGATCGATGCAAAATATAAATATTGTAATATATATATATGTTTATATATATAACTCATTTATTGCTACGAGGTTTCGGTGTCCGCTTGGGGAAAAACCGTTTTACAAATCAAACGAACGAAACTTCCTTTTCATTTCGCAAAATACTTTTATTTCGACTGGTGAAATTTATTTCGTATTTTATTAATCGAAAGACGAACTTTTGTCAGGCGCTCAATAGATGTATGCGTATCTCCCCGGTGACGTCCTGTGAAGGTAGCTTCAGAGGATGATGACTGAGCTTTTTTGGTTTTTTTGATGCTAAATAACTGTGCTAAAAACTGTTTTGATAACCGCCAAGACAGAACAATAATTATGAATAACAATGACGACTTCATTTTTTAAACTGCATAATTATAATTTATATATGCTATTGTGTCGAATTCTTTTCAAATCATTTTGCATCGTTTTGAAGCTAAAATAAAATTTAAAAACACACATATATCGCCTGCATTATTTTTACTTTATTACCTTACTTATTCATTCATTTGTTCACAATCTGAACTTGTTTTGTTATCAAGAAGCTGATAACCTCCAAGTGAAATATTCTTTTCAGGTTTGATCTTGGCTAAGGCCGCTGGCTGTCCTGCTACATTTCTTCATCATAGTATTTACTACTAATTTTACTTTTACAAAGCATAATCAATCGATGTAGTAAGGCTTGTACTTACTCAGCGAACAAAGGGCTGTGATCATTATGCCGGATTGAAGCCCTTTCATCGCATCATTCATCATAAGATTCCGTTAGCAGTTGTCAGTATGCTTGTTTTGGTTCGTGACTTGGTGGCATCTCTTCTGCTTTACATGTCAGTGTATTTCAAATCCCTTTATAGAAGGCCGAGCGTAATGGACATCAAAACACTCGATCGTTTCTTGATGACGTACGTCAACATTTATTTTCCCTTTATAAACGCACCAATAAGTCTAAAGGCTTTTTGCACCAGGTGCGGAAAGATATTTTGTGCAATAAAAACAAAAAAAGTTGCGAAGAGAAAAAAACTTTGTTAATTTTACCTTTCGTAATAGCGCAGATGATGTAGCGTTAGTTAATTTTTTTAACTCTTTCAGACTAATTTATGAGTCAAGTTTGGCGATAGCTATCGTTTGCGAAGTAATTACTCGAGCTAAACTCCGCTTTCTTCTGCACATTGTTTTATTTTAATTTTCATAAATGAGGTGTATGACTTAGTAATAAATGAAGAACTTGGTTCTGCGCAGTTCAGGTCATACATGTACATGTATTTTCAGCGTGATATCTTGTCACAATGACTTAAGAAGGTTGGTAACTGGGTTCTTGTGTCCCTGACACCCTACTATACTTCTGACCGAAGGTGCTGTACCAAACATCAATTAGGACGCAGCAATAATGAAATAAAACGAACACTTCAGTTTTAAAGTCGCATAATTATTAAATAATTGTGGCTAATTGTTCCAGATCAATTTGCTTATTATCGAAACCAAACACTTCTTAATGGCAAAAGGAACTCAAAAATATCCATTCCATTATCTTTATTTATTTGTTATATTATGTAGGAGTGGGTTAACATAATCGAAACATGTAATAACCCTGTTGCGGCTGGTCAACGCGCAGCCGGCGCCTTGGTTTCCATACGGGACATCAAGTTTTTCGTGCATGCGCGGTGTAGGCATCCTTGAACGATGCCACGAGGCCACCAAATTAAAACCTCTTTATCTCCTTCAGTTTCTCGACTTTTTAGTCTTAATGTTAGGTTAAACAATGTAACATTTAGTGCGAGTTTTCACAAAGCCTTCGTGGAGGATTTTTGATCAAAGATTTGTGTTCTATACAGATAGCCACCGTTCTCGGCAAGATACTCAATCCTTATGACAAGTGGAGCATATAACATGACAAGTATTTTTGTTCTCTAAGTTTACATTCTCTCGAATTCAACCACAGAATTCTGTAGGTTAGAGGTTATTTTCTCAATGTTGTTAAATTAACCGTTAATGAGTAAAAAACAACTCACTCAACAAAGTCATTGATGATAGGACTATTCCCCATATCTGACAAAATTTCGTCAACATTTCCTTTTTTTCTGTGAGGGTTGATTTTCTGTCAGCATTACGTTTCCCCAATTCTGATCTTTTTCCCTGTTTGGCAGTATCAGATTGATTGAAATTACTTTTTTGTAAACCTTTCAAGATCACCCTCTTGCTGAAAGGATAAGATTTTAGCGTGTGTTGTTTGTAGTCAACATCATCCTTCTGTTACTGAAGAAATTTTGCAGGAAATTGAATGACATGTCAATTCTTGACGTCTTTTCTAAGGTTAAATTCTTTGCACCTGCTTAAACTAAGCATGGCAAAATAATCAATTAATTTCGAAAGAAACTGTTTCATTTCGTTATTCGTAATTCTTTTGATAGAATAGACTGCGATCCACAATCATGCAGGGAGACAAAAAAAAATTAAATAGTTGTGTTATCCCCAATCTCGAGAAAGTTACTATCTTGTATCAATTAGGACAAAAACTGCTAATGTTATTCTTACGGTTACTTACTCACAATTAAGATTCCTTGTTTACTTTCCTATTGAAATAACACTCTCGGTGTTTTTAGAACGCTTAAAAAACTCGAACCGGTACGGAACAAATATGTCTCTACTTGAAGTAATTTACTAATTTTAAAATGATCCTACAACTTAAATGATGACGCTACCTTAACTTTCTCTGCCGTTACTTTACCTTTCGCACCTGCTCTTCTCCATGAACACTCAAATATCATCTTTTAATTTATTTAATTCATTTTGGATACATTAGTTTGGAATTATTGGTTATGCAGACCATTCATTATCACACTATCATTATATTGAGAGAATAACAAGAAGCATCTCTGGGTCATTTCGCTTAAATGAGACGTGAAAGGTATCGATCTCTGTTGCTCAACGACGAATGTGTTGACCTTTATTCCGTTGCATCAATAATTATGAGCAATGGTGATGAAAAGTTTTCGTGCTCCTCGATATATGTCTGTACTTATATCTTGCAGGAGTAATATCCTTTAAGAATCGCCACAAAGCTCTGATATCTCATCTATTCTCTTTCTAATGCAACGAGAGGACACAAAATAGATGGGCGTAGCTAGGTCTCTCGAGCCCCCCCTTCCCTTCCCCTTTTGAAAGGAGGGGGGAAGTGGGGATGTCGTCGTTATGAATTTCCGCGCGCGCCTCACGTAAAGGGGTGTAAGGGGTCGAACGGGCTTGTAATCACACAGTGGAAAGGACTATTTAACATTTCAGAATATTTTGTGTCATGTACCTCCTCAGAATTCACGCCTGCAACCATGGCAATGGCTTCATATTCAAAGAAGCAAACGAAAAACAGACAAAAACATAACAGAGCAACATAAACACTCACCCAAGAGAGTAGTTGGACTTCTCTGGCATCTTAGAATCTTCCCCTGGGGAGATGGGGTTAGGGGGGTGAGCGCGAAGGGAAGGTGGTTAAGATGGATCCTCCTCTTCCACCCTGTATTGGTTTACTCTGGGCATTGACCAAAACCCAAAGGCAGTCTTCACTAAGGGACAGGGGAAGTTTGTTTCATTGCTTCTCAATACACCGATTTTAATCCAAAGTGGTCAAAAGTGACTCGACAGGGTACAATGTGCCTCGTCATGCGAACAAAATATAACATTGTCATTTTAACTGCTGATTTAATTAATTTATTAATCAGAAAATTTAAAACTTGACTTTTACCGCTGCTTTTACAAAAGTACGATCGTATTTGGTATTTTCACAGGTAGCTTAGTGTTACCTTGTGTACTCAAAATGTGGATCAATATTAAATCGTATATATATATATATTTATTAATAAACAGTGGTTTAAAGGAAATACAGTAAAATGTGTACTAGTGTTAAACAAGTGAGTCTTGAATGTAAGATGCGATTTTAGATAATCGACTCTCATTTTCTTTCTAGTGAATCCAGTTATTTAAGCTAATTTTTTTTTTTAAATTCCAACTTATTTTAAGACTGCAATTCAACTGCTCACATATCACCGACATCACTTGGATTAACCTGTGAGCTTTTTCTTGGGGATTTTTCATTTTTACAGATGGAAAAACAGTATCACTTAAAGTCGTTTAAATTGAATTACTGAACACTGTATGGTACTATTCTTTGAAAGACTGCACTTCTACCGCCCACATTTCGCCGGCATCTCTTGGATTACCTTGTGGGCCCCTATTTGCAGAATTTCCATGATCTACAGCAGATGGGAAAGTGATGTTCGTGTTCCTTTTCAATCGCTCTCTAATCTGCAGATGAACAGGCGACCAAATATCAAATGTTAACCACCAAAATCTTTATTGATGTCTAGCAAATTTACAATTCGTCTTATGTACATCCTCAGTTTGATATTCATCTTACCTGGCTGTTCCGCGCACAATAAAGAACGAAAATCAGGATTCCCTGAAACAGATACTTATATCAGTATTAAACTTTTTGTAATCCAGGTGATAAAGGTGATAACGGTATGATCGTTTGAGATGAAACCACAATAAAGGTGGCGAAAGAATGAATTAAAACAAGTCGCATATCTTGTAGACCAATAAAGATTGTCTGCTGTTGGGTAAATTATTTTGAATAGGCAATATCATCTAACCAAAAGAGTCTTTTTTAGGTAAAAGAGTAGTTTGAGCATTTAAGTATGTAAACAGATTACTAAAATTTAATTATAGACTAACTTTTATTAAAAGCTCACCTGAGTAGAGCTGAAAACGGTGAAAAGGTAGGCGAAAGCTTTGTGTGATGATAACAAAAGACCAAAAAGCCATGTGACACCCAGCAGTGGAATCATCACCGAGCATGTTTTAATGCCAAGTCTAAATAACGAGAACAATATATGAAGAGGATCGATTAACTGTTTCTTTCTGTAAAGTGATATAACCTTTTTTTTTCAAAATCGTATTGCTTCATCGTTGCAGACGAACGTAAGAGTAATCTAGGCAAATACTGCTTGACTAAATGCGGCAACAATTTGATTTCAATGCTCGACGAGTCCTTGTAGAAACTAGTTATTATTTACCTTTTCCCCCTGAATTTTAACTAGTTTACCACAATTATCTAATAAATGTTAAATTTGAAAACTTCCCGTATCTGCTGTATATGGTTGTCTTCCCCCGCGGGTTGCGTTAATGTACTCATCTCCTTTATTACTCGGACGAGTATCAAAATGTTGAGCTGAAAAAAAATAAGGAATATTAAATGTATCAACGCGCTCCTACGTCTCTATAATGAGCAGCATGAACCCTGTGCTGCGCCACGCAATTACTTGGTTCATACGCAGGCCAAGAGGAATGGAAGTTAGAAAAACACAAGGGAATTTCAATTGGAGTTGATATTCTTTTGAAAGACGGTAAACGTTTAGTAATAAAAATCTCTAATAATAGGCAGTCCTGGTATAGGAAATAACAATAATAATACCGACAATTATAAAAATATAATAATAATAATAATAATAATAATAATAATAATAATAATAATAATAATAACAATGATAACAACAACACAGACTCACAACTTCAATGACAGCTACAAATGTGACGAAGATCCAGATCAGGTTGTTAGATGAGGACAGCCAGCAACTGGAAACGAGTATATAAAAAAAGTTAAATTCCAGGAAATAATCTTAAGAGCATAACACAAATCAAACACAAAAACATAATAAAAAAGACAACTCCAAGTGAAAACAAGTGGAGTGATAAAGGAAAACTGGGAAGAGATCTTAACAGCAGCAATGCGTCCTGATTATTTAAATGAAAAGAGAGAGAGGATGAGAGAGAAGGAACTGCAACTGTATTATTGACTGTTTCTCATACTGTGTTTCACTGATATAGCTTTTAATTCCATCTTTTCCAGCGGCGATGCTTATTGAAATGCTAACCAAGATGATGGGCAAACCTAAACATAAGTAGAATGAAGTTAGTGCAACTCGAGAATTCATACGTCCATTTTTGAAGCGATTCCGATTCAGCAGCTTACAATAATTTATAACAAGTGAAATAAAAATACCCCATGATATGAAGTGATACAAATGAATCTTGGTGTTGATGTTATAAACTTTCACAACAAATAGGAAGGAATAAATTCCCTCCACCAACACCCAACACAAAGCTGCCATCAGGAGATACTGCAATGAAGCTGCTACTAGGACACAGAGGGCCTGCGAGGGAGAAAAAAATAATTTTGTCGGTTTTTCATATTATTTTCTAAAGAATCTTTTAAGCACCTAAAGAGCAAATAAACCATGAATAGATGAATAAAATACTTACCGTATTTTCTGTGGCGTTTATGCCGGCGAGAAAGATTATTTGTCCAGCTCCAAGGGCTACAAAAAGACTCAATCGTATTTGAGTCAAAGGTTGCCTGACGTCTCTAGTGAAAGAAGCAAGCAATAAAAATACTAACAAACAAACAGACAGAAAAAAAGACAGAAAACAAAAACTCAAATACCAGACAGAAACAAAAACAAAACGAAGAAATATTTGACAAGGCATTCTATTAATTATTATTTTAATTATTCAACATACTTTTTAATTTAATTGATATTTTTTAAAGAACCTGTCTGTTCTAAGTCCTAAATCATTTAAGGTCATGCAAAGACTTGGTTCTTTAAGCGTATGGTTACAGTACTTACGTGAGGTAGGAATATAAAATAATTGTCGAAAGAATCGCGAAAATGGAAAGGCACAATCCTACGTTGGTGATAATTTCATAAATAGTTTCATCTTCCAAAGTGAGCTGGGAAGAGAGATGAAGAGACAGCAGATTCGTTACTTAAACCAATGAAATTTTATACCAATGCTAAGGGTAAGGTGAAAAGAAATTCATTACCCCTGGAATACCGTTGTAGTCAAGTAAGACAGCAAAATTAGTCAAGTGATTGCAGCTGCAAACTGTTTCTTCTGAGTTGCTTTTCGATGTAACCACATGGCATCCTGTCTCTGAAAATCTGCCTGAGCTAAAAAATAAAATAATAAATAGAAATAATAATAATAATAATAATAATAATAATGATCAAAATATAAATCGAAACTACCCTGAAAACTCATCAGGGCACCAACGGGTCTATTTTCTGTCTTTCTTTCGCCGATTCATAACCTTTACACATCGTCGAGTACTTTCCAATTTGACGTTTGTCGACATGTTCTCCCTGCCACTCATGGATTAGCCTTTGAGTGACCACGGTCAGCACTTCCAAACTGAGGGAAATGGTATGCTAATGATACTAATATTCAGGCTATGCACAAACATTGATATACCCCAGCTTGGGTGAAAAAGCAAACAAGAAAACAAGCAAGGCTAGAAACACAGAAATAAACAAACACACATATACAAACCAAACAAATCAATGAACATATAATAAAATATATGGAAGGAATTTATAAGCGATGGATATATAGATATAGCCATGGAAAGAGAAAAAAAACAGCAACAACAAAACCTTCCAAAAAAAGTCACAGTCTGTGCCTTCATTTTCAGAACAAACAAATTGACCTTGAAAGGCCTTTTTAGAATGTAGGGAAAGTTTCAAAGTCTCTTCAAAGTCGAGTAAGGAATTATTGACGGTTAATAATTACCCTAGAAAAACACCCATTTAAGTATAATAATCATCACATTTTTCTTCATAATTTTAGAATGAAGAATCAATTACTCCTGGAACAGGATGAAAAATACATTCCAGCTGTTACCTTTCACTTAAGCCACTCCAAAACATACATTTCTTTGCTCCTTCGTGAATCTATACTCAAAATATAAACATTGAAATGATATACTCGGAATAAATATCACAACGTAAAACAATTGATACTGCCTTTGATCCTGTTCTTACCTTCAGATTTCTGAACCTTAAGATGACATTCTCTTGTAATTTTTCTGGATTTGGATCTAAAGCCACGGCCGTTATCCCGGAGTCCAAATATCTTAGGAGGAATAGAATATCAGTATGAAACAGATTAATCTAAAGCATAGTAATCATTTTTATGAAAATAGCAAGCTAGGAGCCTGCTATTATCAAACCCGGAAAAGACAATAATTCACATGACTAATTATCTCTCAATAGGGTTTTGCCGACCCTATAGGTTCAACTCCTCGAGTTTTTCTTTTTGTGTATCTTCGATAGAAGGGGCATTGGGTTCAGAAACTTTAGGAGGTAACCTCACCTAGTGGTGCTCTTTATAGTTTTGAAGGGTTGATCTGTAATCAATAATTCATGGAGATCCTTGTACACGATCCCAACAACCACTGATACTAAAACGTAAAAAACCAAAAAAACAAACAAAACCAGGCTACGACATGACATATGAAATCCAAGTTGCCAATGCGGATGTCTGAATCAAACAGATCATGTAAACCAACAAACAAACTTGTATGTATTTGTAGATGTATTTCAAAACTGCAAAAATTGGAGAGGAATAAAAAATTGTGATTTGTCCCAGCGCGTAAAAGATATAAAAACTGAAGTCAATACAAACCGTTCTTGGCAAAGTTTTTAGAGGAAACTTTCAGGTTCGTTTGAAGTTCTTTTCTCCCAAGATTAAAGTCAGTAGCATTTTCGCGGTAGGTTTTTTGTATAGCCAACACTGACGGGGAAAAAAATAGAGACGAATTAAGAGTCACACATTTTCGAGAAAATTTTTTTCGTGTTGGTCTGAAAATAAGTCATAATCCCAATATGATAATTATACTTGCTTGAAAGCTATGTATTCTTCACATAATCCTCTAAAAGTTGAGGTTTGAACGCTTTTGAACATTCAAATCGCCGAAAAAATTGTCCATTATCACTGTGATTGATAAAAATAAAGGTAAGTGGGAGGGATGAACCGGCTTGATCTTGCTCAACAGGTCTCATGCAAAAAAAAATTAAGTCATGAAAGCAACCGTTATGTCATTGGTCACTGTGTCGGTCAATAAACAGGTAATGGATTATTCCAAATCCGAACGAATAATCATGGTCTGACTCACGTAGTTTTCGGCTGTTTATCTCCATTGAAGAATTCGCTCCAATCATTTGGTGTTTGCCATAATTAAGGGCGAATACCTCCAAGGCGACTGCCACCCTAAAGATGGAATTTCTTGTTATTTTGATTTCTTCTTTGGTAAGAGCTTTTTGGAGGATTTGGATATTGGTGATGAAGTCTTCAAAAATCCACACAGCCTCCTGTAATCACATAACATATTTCTGTTAAAGTAAGATTCTACAAATTTGGATCCGTGTCAGTGTCCCATGAGTATTGAGCCGCAGAACCCTTGATCGTGGTCGAACATTTAAACAAAACAGTTTGAAGTAACGGCAAAGTATGCTAGCAAGGCCCATATTTCGTCTACTCCACTTAGATTATGAAAAAAAAATTGAGAAGGAAATGAACTAGACCAAAAATGAATAAAAGAAAAAAAAATCAGCAAAATGGCCAAATGGTGAATAGAATGTGCACATGTTAAAGAAGTGTCCAAAAACTCGTCCAAGAAGTCGGAATTATCTCTTTCGGGAATCACTTTTTTCCACTTACGCCAGTTCATGTGTTAGAAATGATATTAATATCGATAGTGACGATGATACTGTTACAATAATTATAATAACGATAATGATAATGATGACGATGACGAGAATGGTACGGTCTTGTTTGCTCTTGTTCGAATGCACTCTAAGTTTTTTTCAAGCTCAGAAACTGCTGCAATGCATTGGTCATTCTTTCTAATCATTGTGCATTTCATATTAACTAAGTGGCTTAATCAGAAAAGATAAGCAATTAGTAAATTCATACCCTCAAAGGCCTAATTCTACTGATTTCTTCTCCTTTTAGTTTGGAAACGGAATCCTTTGCCTGAGATAAAGAAAGACAGTAAAGTTGGCGAACAAAAATGTTGTAAATAAAAAGCTTGAGAGGATTACTTTGCTCACCAGATTCTTAATGACTTCTGACGTCGGCGTCAGAGGTGTCCGTAGAGACGGAGACGATGCTGATCCTGCTGCCGATGTTTCCGATGATGATGACAATAATGATGATGATACTAATGCTGCTACTGATACTGCTTCCGACGATGCTTCTGATGATGATCCTGATGATGATGTTGCTGTTGGCTTTGATGATGATGGTGATAGTGCTGATGAAGATGCCCCTGCTGTTGATATTGCTTCCAATGATGCTGTGTGATGAAGATGATGGTAACGGTAAGATTAATAATGCTAAATGTGACTGCGACATTGATTGCAATAGAGCTGAATGTTGAAGAACATTTAATTGTTAAAATAAAATTGACGCTATGGTAAGGCGCAACGAAGTTTAAAAGAAAATATTTTCCATTTCTTTTTCAGAATCTTAAACACTTTTTCGTAAAACAAAAAGAGAGTGTTTTAAGTATTCAAAGCGTTATTGTACTCACTGTAAGCTTCTGTTCCATATCCTGTTGAAATTTTAGTTGCGAATACTCGAATTGTTGAAGTCCCAATAGATGTAACGATATTCGACGTGTGGGAATCTGAAGTGATGGAGTGACCGTCACACATCTGTGTACAATCGTTAGCGTTAAAATGCGTTTTGCACACCTGTACTTCATCTGTGCAACTTTGTGATTTACATTTTCTCCCGCGGCAGGTCATGTTACATACTTTGGCATCGCAGATTTGTTCACAATCCTGGTTGTTACATTCTAGATGCATTTCACATACATTTCCTCCACCTTGGCACTTTTGTATTTTACAGTTTTTCCCGCTGCAGTTCAGATAACATTCTTTAGCCTTGCAGATTTGTTCACAATACTGGTTGTTACACTCTAGATCCATTTCACATACATTTCCGTCACCTAGACAATTCTGTGTTTTACAATTGCTCCCACTACAGTTCAGTTTACATTCTTTAGCCTCGCAGGTTTGGTCACAGTCCTTACTGTTACATTCTAGTTTCATTTCACATGCATTTCCGCTACCTTCGCACTTTTGTCTTTTACAATTGTGCCCCCTGCTGTTCAGTTTACACGCGTTAGCCTTGCAAGTTTGGTTACAATCGTTACTTTCACATTCCGATTTACAGTAATCCCAATTGTAATCATCTCCGCCCAGTACAAAACCTGAAACAACAAAAACAAGAACAGAACGAAAAACATAAGAATATTAAATATAAAAATAATTATGACGATAATTATGAAAAATACAAAGGTACTGCAAGACCTTTCTTGCGCAATTAAACAGCTTTATACCACTGTTGCATAAAACTGCTGAATATAATTTTCATGGACCATTATGGCAGAGTAATTGCAAGCACCATTTCGTTCGAGCCGAGTCTTCAACTACCGCGAAGCTGACAGAGGTTTCGAATATACAAGTTAATACAAAGTGGTTTCTTTACAAACCAACTTTCTCGATAGGTGAAATGTATCTCAGTATTTCATCCTATTTTGTATCACTGACACCATTTATTTATCCATGTTTTTGTCGATTCACTTCGATTTTTTTTTATATCTTGTTACTTTAGCTAAGGTAGGCGGCCCTTGTAAGATTAAAGAGTGAGCCTTCTTTCCACAACTACGTTTTGCAGCTTAGGAATTGATAAATACAGAAGGGCATCCTTAGCTGTAAAGAACATTTCCGCATGACGAAGTTGCCCTCTTAGATATTGTCTACAGATTCATGAAAAATTAAATACCTAGGAAAATCTGACTCTTAAAAATTTTTAAGGAGAAAATAAGACTTCAAAGACTTGAAATGGTATTGTTAAGCTTTCAGGCTCGGTAGTTTATGAGGGGTGAGAGGCGATCTAAATTTCGACTATCTTTTTAATCATTACAGAATTTGCATATCTTTAAATTAGAAAAAAAACCCGGGATTAAAATATCCCATCGCAACTTGCATGTTTGCGCTGAAGCTTCACTTTTTCATGATAGACACACGAGTTAGAACAGGCTTTAAGCCTGCATACATAGGTAAAATGGCTCCATGAAATACATCCCCTATAATATTTCGTCATGGCCTCCTGAAAAAAAGCCTGTGTGGCCCATCTGCCACACAGGCTAATCTGAAACTATTCTAAGTTTTAGCGGTCTTTGTTTGCGCTAAATTTTATTTCTAAGAATTCTCAAAGGGCAGCCATGAGATGGACTCCTCGGAGTGCGCTTAGGCTGCATTCTAAATGAAATCAATCTTTTAAAAGGAGCTTTGGTACTCACTCAACAAAGCTATTGATAACAGGAGTGTTCCCCACAACTGGCAGCTTCTCATCATCATCATTTGTTTGCGTTGGGTGAGTTTAGTTCCTGTAAGCTAAACCAAATGCAACACTTCTAGATAATTGCCAAGATCGGTCGGAAATATCTTTTGCCAATATAAACCCAAGGCTTGATAACTCTCCTTTTAGAAAAAACCAGCCGTTTACTCAGTGCTTACAAGCACTGCGGGAAATGATTGTCATGCAAATTATTTTCGTCGGGTATTTCGGCCGAAATTTAGTCGCAGTAAGCCTTTTTACTCGAGTAAAAAATATGACAGGTACGAAACTAACTTTTCAAGCAAATGCTTCATTCGAAAGTTAAAGGTTCGAATTAGGTTTTTGTTAAGAGCACTAGCATCACAAGAGTTGCTTCGAAACAATTACGCCTCCACTTGTGATATTTTTTGTTCGCTTTTTCTAACGATCCTCGCTAAGTAGTGCAGAGCGGAAGATCTTACCTGCACGTGCCACGCACTAGAAGGTATTATTGACAAAATATGTGACGTTTTCCTTTTCTTGGAACAATAAATGGAGATAATTGCTCACCAAAGCTAAATTAGTTATTTAAGTTCAAAAACTCTCAGAGTTAAAAAATTGATTCGCTAGATATGAGTGTTCCCTGTTTTCGTCGCAATATATCTAAATAATTATTTCAGTAACAATGAAGAATCTGTAATGTTAGAACTTAGGGATTTTAGTCACGCGGAATATGGTAAAAGACCGGTCGTTATTTTTCACCCGCGAGGGAAAAGGAGGATTTTTTAAGGGAAGGCCGACTTTATGCGTTCGAAGACCTAAAAACACAACTGGTATTGTCATACCCAGTCGACCTTATCGCTTAAGAAATGCTCGCAATGAGCCTATTTGACTCGAAAAAAACTAAATCCTGAAAAAGAATAAATAAATAACAAAGAATTCTCTTCATATACAACTGTGTTCATTGCGATCTTAAATTGCAAACCACTTTGTTGGAATAACAATAATAATAATAATTTACTGTTTTTGAACACGGGCATAATAGTTCTAAACAGAATTCAGTTAACCGTTTCCTAAATATTGACGGGTTAATAGCTAAAAGCTAATAATAAATGTTTTTCTCATCGAACAGCAGTTTCAGACTTCCCTTAGGGCTTTTCGAAAATGTTAAAAATGATCTAGAATAAAGGAAAACACATGGACTGAAACAATATCAATGCAAAACATTTTTTTTGCGGAATGATAATCTTAAACAGCTCCGTCGAAGTTGTCTGTCGTGTTGATATGTTTGATTTAATATTGATTTCTTTATGAATTAGGTATATTTTAAGCAAGCATTCGAAAGACGAAAAATTTTCTACCTTTTTCCTTATTCACT